GATAAGTATACTATATCCAAAAACTAAGTCAAGACAAGATATAAGTCAATGAAGCAACTGTGCTAGAAACACGGGACTCGAGGGGTGCCTTACACCTTCCCCTTGGTCAATAGAATTTCTTATCCATATTTCTAGTTCGCAGACCATTAAAAATTAGAGTCAACTTCTTTTTGATTAGGGGTAAAAATTAGGTGACTTGGAACACCAAAACTCGATTCCAAGTGGCGACTCTGAAATAAAAATAATCCCTTTTCAAAATGTCACTTTAATTGGAGAAACTCTATTTTTCAAACACTTCGTTTGGGGAAAAATAGGGGTGTGACAAAAATTGCATAAGTTTATTTTCTTGTATTATAATATAACTCAAGTTATGTCTCTTAAGTACTGTCGTTAGAGGTATAAGTTTAGTTTAGAACCAACAAGTTATTCCTACAAAACTTATGTTGATATAGACATATGTTTAGTTTTAAAACCCATAAAATTATGTCTTAACAGATTTCTACAGAATTTATGCCAAACAAGATGGAATAAAAATAATCTGAACTTATGCTGGATAAGACAAAAATAATAATTAAACATATGTCAAACGAATTAGATATGCTACACAATTTATTCATAGTTGTTGCTTGCTGAAGTGCTCGACTGCTTGTTGGTTTTGGAGTCATGCCTTCGGCCCAGTAGCTCAAATTGCTGCTTAATTTACTGATTCTTTATTTTCCAGTTTTCTCATTATTTATTATTCTTATCTTATTATATATATGTCTTCAATTAATAATTCAAAGAGGAAATATTTTTTTTAAAATTATTTACTTGCAAATTATTTAGTTTTATCTGATCTAATCTTATTTATTATGTCTATCATTAATATTTTTAATCACATCACTATCAGAAATAGATGGTTGAATCAGTATATAATCAATATAATTCTGAAAACAAATTGAGAGCTAGACATTAAGGTCAGCCAAAAATATATAAAAATAATAAAGGAGAAAAGCAAAAGTTGTATTGGCAGAAAAAAATGGGAATATAAGAGGGACTTTATGCTTTCTCGTCAATCAACAAAAGAAAAGGAGGGAATCATATTCGGAAGAAGACATGATAACCATAGCAACAAAGATACGCGTTTGGATACGCGATATGATATCATAATTTTAAATTAGTGTTTGAATATGTGATATCAAATCATCTTTATGAAACTTCTTTATAATAATTTAAAACTATAATTATGTGATGATTACGTAGTAATGAAATTTGTTTCAGTAATTAGTCATGCATCAATTTTATCAATAACTAATATTGATGCCTGTATATTACTCTAATTAGTAAAATTGAGAATCTTACCCTAATAAGCATGGTTACTTATGCCTAAGAGTGTTTCCTCAATGGTTTTGGAGTTAAAAGCAAAGCGAATTTAAGAACGTTATCATCCAGAGTTGTGATAGAATGAATAAGATTTCTTAATTAGAAAAGTTTTGCTTTCGAGTCCTCCACATGAGATTTTTTTTTTTGGGCAAGAAAAACTTCTCTCTTTAATAAAACCTTACACAACATAAATTTGAATTAATCAAATTCTAACTATCTTATGCAACTTGATTTCAAATAACCAGTATCAAACAATAAAGGGCACCAAGTTCAAATTCTACGAAATGTGATTTTTATTGTCTTAGATCGAATTAGAATAAAATAGATTAACTGAACATAAACAAAGGTTTCACCCTGTCATGACAAAGAAAGAGCAACCATTTTCTTTGGATTATATTACTCCTCCAATTACACACTCAAGAAGCCGACATTTACTTCGAAGTTAACAGCTGGCCCTGCTTGGTTTGTTGTGTATTCAAACAAATTAGTAACAGATTCAAGAATTTTGCTGTACTGAATTTTATAAAAATCTTACCAAATATTATGAACTATCTACATTAATTTTGCATATATATAATATTGAAAATTCTAGTCCATACAAATAGCTTTTTGATACTTATAAAAAGGTGGTGGGATCAACCTGTCTGCCCTCTCTGAATAAATTTGCCAATGCTGCCTTCTCTGAATATGTTTTCCAAGTTTATGATTAACTGTTCTGAAGATTGAAATGAGTACAAGCATATTAATTGTATTCACATGTGTCACACTGATACATATATAAATATACTCTCAAATAGGAGTAAAATTGTTTCTGTTGTTATATCATATGTTTGGTTACGGTTGTTCAATCTGGTATAGATGTTCCAAGAAAATGGGGCCTGTACTCCATCCAAGAATCATGTGAATGTCCTTATTGTTTCTTCTGCAACGTCTGGAAAACATACATCAAATATAGTTATGTCATGGGCCATGACAATCAATACCTAGCTAGCTTGAATCAGCCCATCTGGTAAAACAATTATCCTATGTCTTCGCATCGTTCAATGAAGTTTATTTTGATGATCGAGAAATTCACCTCGAGCCAACCCTTTGGATCAGTTGCAACCTTAGAATCTCAGGGATAATGACTACGCCCTTTCACCCTTCTCCACTTAATTACTAGTTATGGTTCATTTGGTGTACGGACTAAATCCAGATTCGTATCGAGATGTTTCACATTGACGGATAAAATGTTTGTTAAATTTGACAAGATTCAAAGATGAATTAATGTGAAAATTTGGTAGCTAGGAAGATAATTCTTCATTGGTACAAAAGTCAAGATAGTAGCTTTGTAGGTGAAATTTAGGTAAATCATAAAATGGTTTCACAAGTTAAACCTTGACATTTTGACACATTGTGATATCATGGATGACATCAATAGAAAGTATTCATTCCTATAAATAGATAGCTCTTAATTCATTTGTAAAACGTACACCTCTCACTTGTGTTCTCATCTCAAAGGCATTTGACCTTCTTTCTCTCTTGTAGTATTTCACTTGTACTCTTTTGGAGTGAAATAAATATTGGTTGGTTATGTCCAAGGAGTAGGCAAAGGAAAATAAAATTTTGCCGAACCTCGTTAATTTCTGGTGTTCCTTTTATTGTTGTCTCATTTACTATTTATTAACTACCTTTAGATATAGCAGTTGTGATTTCATCACACTCTATATATTCGGCTTCCGCAACAATGTTTCCTAACAAAGATAATACTGTACCTAGAGGGATTCGAACCTAAGACCTTTGATTAAGGATGAATGAGTAGTTAACACTACACCACAATTCTTGTTGGTCACCTATAACGACTTGCCCAGATATAAAATTAAAATAGAAAGAAGTTCCTCATTTACCTCCAGAGGAGGAGCAAGGTGGGGGTTTGTGGGTTTGGACAACCACTAGCTTTTCCGTAGATCCTGTATTTATATTCGAAAATTTAGTAGATACATATGAAGTTGATTGATAGCTCAAAGGGCGATGAAAATATTTTCACGTTAGTGTTGTGGGTTCAAACTCCATAATAAAAAATAAAATAAAATCTGAAAGCTCTGGAAAAAGAGATCGAGGAGGCTTATTGCAGAAAGGGTGAGGAGGGAACAGAGGCACAGAGCATTAAATTGATTGAGTCCAAATATGAAAACATTAGTATGTATTTTTATGTTAAAGTAAAAGGAAGATGGTGAAGGCTGGTGTCGTTGCTCTTAAAGACTGAAAGAAATAGGGAGGCAACGACAAGTACGTACACTGCACACATACTGTACTCCATTACTCCTATTACCACTACTTTAATTTCTCTTCTGTAATGCACTTACCTGAATTCTAAATTTCAGAGATAAGATGCATTCAAAATGTGAGACTCTGCTTCTTTTCTTTCTTCATACTTCATATCCTTATTAATCTTTACAAAATTATTTTTCTACCTAGGACCACACCTTTCATTCACTTGTTTTTCTTTCACATTTTTCAGATATATATCGTCACAATGTAAATTTACAGTTTAAGTTTGAGTTAGACTCAAGTCCAATATACTTCTACTTGAATGGATTTGCCTTCATATAGTCATTTCCAAATATTATTATACTTTCTTTTTGACTCTCATAAAATAATTCTATCACAAATTTATGATAAATTTTACATATCTTTATTTAAGATTACAAGATTTTAATTTTTAAGTTCCATGTAAAGTCGAAACCAAATGAATTGAAATGAAGGGAGAGTAATAGATTCCCATATAAGGTTTGTTGATGTGCACAACTCAATGTTGAAAATAAGTTGTCGCATAAGTCAATTTATGGCAAAGTTATGTATTGAAAACTATGGCGATTAAAAAAGAAGTACCAAAGGTCTAATGGACAGTAATAATTTTAACAAATCTGATCACGTGATAATGTGTTTAGAAATATGACCATATAACAACGGTGGATTCTTCAAGATGAAACTTTAAAATGATTTTACGTGCCTAGCTTAAATTAATATCGTGCCAACAATGTGTATACTTAGGAAATTACCGACATCTTTAAAAGATATAAAGGATTACAGCTCTTTAGACAAAAGTAGATCTTAATTCCTCTAACAACCAAGGCACCAACTTCATCATAAAATGAGTTTTAAATAAAGATTTAAACAATAACTTCCTCTATAATGGGCAGTAAATTCTTCAATTTAATTTGTTGTTTCGATCTAAATACGACCCAACTAGATATTCTATATTTATCCTTTTTCTCCTACAAAAGTTTCAATTAGAAGTTATTCTCCTATCATATGCCAAAAAGATTATGACGTTCTCCATATAACATGCTACAATTTATTAATAGCATCATTATTTCAATCTAAGTCCTCTAAATAAGCAAAATAAATTCCATAAAAGAATTACTTAATATATATAAATAATTTATGAACTCGATTATCTAAATTCAGGAGCTAACAATTAGTAATGTTCAATTTTCACCCAACTTCTATGTAGACTGTGTACTATGTGCAGCAACAGTTGTACCTAACTTTTTTGTAAAATGGGTACCTTACAGCTTTGTAGGAGCCTATATATATGAAGATTGGGAATGTGCTATTACTATCATTTTTCTTCTTTTATTTTTTTCTTCTCTCTGTTGCAGCTCAGAAAGCAAAGTGCTCTGTTTTCATACATTCTGACTGAACAAAATTAAACAAGTCCAGTCGCTCTCACTTTCGCCTTTCACTTTATTGCCGCTTAATTCATACCAGCAGTACTATACTTCAACTGATTAACAAAAGATTAAATGGAATACGATCTACAGAATCCATTAACGGGCTTCGAAGAATACCATTTCGACTCCGTTTCAGCTCTCTTTGCCAACGAGTCCGATCACATGCCGTCGTTTCTCGACTTCAAATCTACCGATGTTCGCTTTTCCCTTCGCCGCCATTCTGTTTTCCTTATTTCTCAAGTAAACACTCTTCATAATTTTGTACTGCTTTCGTCCTACTCAGTTCTGCATTTTCAGAGTTTAATTGAACTATGTTAACTTTTCTACAAATGAAAATTATATCAATAGTATAGTAATTTGTAGTTAATTGTACGTCTCAGTGGTTGTGATTTTTGCAGGTACAAAGTTCTTACAAATTTGATGGCTATATTGCCTACCTCGCCGTCAATTACATTGATCGTTTTCTCTCCAAACAAGCAGTTCTGGTAAACGGATTTCATTTCATTCTCATAGAAGTGTAATGAAATTGTTGAAAATCTGCTGAGAATTGTATGAAACTTACTTCAGGAGAATAAGCCATGGATTGTACGGATTCTCGTCATTGTTAGCCTTTCTCTTGCCGCAAAAATGAGGAACGTCGATTTATCACTGTCCGATATTCAGGTAAACTGTGAGTCAATATTGTACAGTATAATTTCATCTCGACTTCTCATCATTGCTAAAATTTCGATGCAATACGACTTAGTTTGAAAACTGCAACAGAGAGATGTAGGTTTAAATTTTGACGCTCAATCGATTCAACGCATGGAATCGCTGATTCTCGATACTCTCAAGTGGAGACTAAGATCCATCACGCCTTTCTCGTTTCTGCATTTCTTCAATTCGTTTTTTAAACTCGGCGACCCGTGTCTGACTCAGTCTCTTAAACAACGAGCTTCAGATATCATCTTCAGTACTCAATACGGTATTGTTAATTCTCTACTAATTTCAAAATTATGTTATTAGTTAGGTAATAAATGCTGTCTTAACCATTGATTAATGCCCGGCATGTGTACAATTTACTGCAGAAATTAAGCTTTTTGAGTACAAACCGTCAATAATAGCAGCATCGGCGCTTCTGTGTGCAGCTGAGGAGTTGATTCCCTTGCAATTTTCTTCTTGCTTAGCTGCAATTTCAGAAATCCAATACTCAAATAAAGTAAGTCTTCTTTAAATAAAAAAAATGTGCTTCCTTCTTCCTTGCTCTGTTTTATAAGATACATTTACTATTATTGGATTTTTTGACCGACTTTCCCTAATATTCCAAATACTTTCTAAATGATAATATAAATAAGAACTTAATCGTTATTCTAAACAATTAAGACCAAAAACTACTACTACCATTATTTTTCTTATATTTTAAGTACAGTTTTTTTCTCCATTTGTCATTTTTGTTAGTAGTACTTTCTTCTTTTATTTGCAATTCTAACTGCGGAATTATACTCAATGTTAGGAGGAACTTATGAATGCTTTGGCTGTAATGCGGGAAATGCTGATAGAAGGGAGGGACTATTGTAGTATGTTGACGCCAAAAAGTGTTCTGGAGTGTGAACATACAAGCTCTCAATGCGAGACTCAAACAAATCAGGATAGGGACACCATCAAAAAGAAGAGATTGAGCGATTTAAGGGATGATCAAACGTTCCAGATTTCTCAGGCTCAATGGTGCTAAGATAGTAAGACAGTATACCAGCGTCCCTATTTTGTTTTCATTGATTTTGTTGCCTCGTGCATAGCAATTTTGTTTGAGTGGGAACAGATTCGTCGAGGAGGACCTTTGAATGAATTGAACTCTAAAACTAAATCAGAGCAGTGTAGAATTGCAACGAATTAGATGCACAATCTCTATAGGTTCCACTATTCGCATAATTGTGTAGAGAAAAATCGCTCATTGTACTTTTATGTTATAGACTATTCAAAAGAATCTTTGTTCTTTGGAACCGAACAAAGATAAGGGAGGTACTGTGAAGCTGAATATTTACATTAGTTTGTAGTTTTATGTGCAGTCAGTGCCAGTAGAAGAAAAAATGGAAAAAGAGAAGCTTACTGTATTTCGCTTTGCCACTTTCCAGTGGGGCTAAGAGTGATGAATAATATGGTTCGAGTGGGGCTTGGAGAGAGGAAACGTTGTTATTATGCAGATTTCAGCTAGGTGTTTGAATTTTGGACAAAAGACATGTTGTCATTAACTTCTTTGAAAGCCACACTACGAGATTATTCTTTTTTTTCTTTCCTACAGAGGATGGAGTAAATTTTGGTGTTCTATAGCATAATTCCTTTTCTTCTCCCTCCTAGAGGCGCAGATGTCATGCAACAACCACTTTCTCTATTCCAATCTTGAAGTACATTCGTTATTTACTAACGGAATTCAGTAGAAATGTCGGTCTTTGTTTAAAACTGTTCCAGCAGTTTTTGTTTCTTAATCGCTGTAATTTGCAATCACTGTTTAGATACAGTAAAAGTTGTGAAGTCACAAAATTATGCATGCCTATGGGTCAACCCAAATGATTCACATCCACAGTAACATAACGTTGCCTTTACAGAGGTTAAAAAATCATTATCTACACTTAAAGAGGTCCCAGGGCATCTTATTTTCTGAAATTCATAATCAGCCATTTCTAAACCTGTCTGTAATTCTGCATATAGCTACTCTTTCAGCTTTGCTGTCCCTCTGTTACATATGACTTACAACAAGACTAATACAAAAGATGACACCGTCAGCTACCAGGCACTGGTAAAAGCTTACAGGATTGTAGGTACTTGGGGCTCTTTCCCTACCCGTTATTTTGCACCACTCGGATATCTGAAATAAGTCACTATATGATAAGTGCAATTAAGGGATCTTCATATGACATAGTGCTAAATATTACTTGGATTTGCCAGTCTTCCACATTGAACCTTTCTTGTGATAAGGGCTATGCCTCGAACCAACACTGATTTGGGAAATTCTAGATTGAAAAGCAGCACTACCACAGATAGGAGATGTCAGTTGAATTCTTCAGGACATCCAGCAGAACCAAGAGATTCTACTTGAAGTTTACTGGAATCTTTAGTCTTTAAACTTCCAAATATTGGAAAGTGAGATGGCGTTCAAAAGTGATATTCCACTTGTTGCCAAGTGTGCAATAGTATCATTGTGTGTTTCTTGAACCAAGTATACTACTTTTCGTTGTCAGTTCTTCCAGGTAGGCCGCAAATGTTGTCAAACTGACACTTAATTTACTTGCAGATAACCATGCCTAGGAGAAAAAAACATATAACTTTGAAGCTTTCTCATGTTAATGTACAAGTGTAATATCATGTAACCATAGATTCTTTTTAAGGGGATTAGAAGGTTAAGTACTATAAAGACATTATGCATTCTGTGATACAATAGGCAAAGAGAAACGATATGCATCTAACATGTACATTTACTCATCAAATATTTACAGGTTGTAAAGGCCCTTTAAAAATCTTAGCTTGAATATTATGAGATACCGACATAGCCAGATATTTGAATTTCGTAATCTGCCGGATGACAACCATACAAATAAGAATACAATTATAAGACCTAAAACCACCATACATAATGAGCTCCACAGGTTTTCATATTAAATATCTGCTCCTTATTGCTTAGTTAACCTACTCTGCTTAATATTGGTTTTCAATGAGTGAAGAACAAAGCACACCTATTTCCTACACCTGGAAATCCTAGAAATTTAAAGCAGAAAATATCAATGCATGTCTTTATTACAGAAACATCTATTGATTTTACAAATCATTGCACTCTACATAGAATGCTCATTTTTCAAGAAGAGGAGGTTTTTACGGATCGATATAAAACTCCTTTCTTCTTCCTTCAGTTAATAACATTTGAATCCAAATTCTTGATTAACATCCAAATAACAGCGGGGGAACATAAAAAATTCAGCAGAACAAAATTGAAGTATCTGCAAATTTCTGTGGGTAAGTAGACAATACCTGAACAAATTGTTGTTGAATATGATGATGATTCCTCAATTCAGTACTTCAGAAGGTGCCTATCTAGATTTTAACCAGTTAGAGAAATCAGTTCCACCTCAGTCGTGACTTTCCACCTTTGCTCCAGATATGGTGCATCCATGTGGTGTGGTTATTCTATATCAGAATAATAAAATGTTTTACATAATTAACATGAGGTAACAACTTGGTAGAGTCATCAATCATTCAGATCACCAGTAATCTCCACATGAACAGACTCCATCCTTAAAATGGTGGAAACGGTGCATATCACGTACAATAATTTCTCGTTTCATGACAAGCGAGATGTACTTTGTTGCAGTATGGCAGTCACCACAAACCCGGAGATTTTTCCTGATGTGAATAGTTGTACCAGCACTTGTATTTAAAAGCCCAAATGCAATAGCAAGCTTCTCACTGTGGCTCTTTAGCAATTGCTCCTGAACAACATCTTCCACATCGTGAATTGAATCAGTATCAGGTATATATCCAGCAGCTTTAATCCTATCAAACAGTTTCTCAAGGTAAGCATAGATCTTCTCTGACTGAGGATGGCTAGTGCTTCCTGAGTAGAATGTGTGGACCTCGTTTCTTAAATCAACTAGACTCCATCCAGGTGTCTTTTGAATACCTTTTCTCTCCATCATAGTTCTGACGTTAGCAACTTTATGCCATATTGAAGCCGTGGCGTACATATTAGCAAGAAGCACATGATATCCACCATCATCGGGATCTAGCTCAAATAGCTTGTCTGCTGCCTTCTCCCCCAAATCTACATTTTTGTGAATCTTGCAAGCTCCCAACATTGCACCATAGACATTGAGTCCTGGTCTGATAGGCATATTATCAATGAAGTTCCAAGCCTCACTCAACCGACCAGCTCGACCAATTAGGTCTACCATTGCCCCATAATGGTCCATTGAAGGCTCCAAGTTGTATTCTTCCCTCATGATCGTGAAATAGTTGTGCCCCTTCTCTACAAAGCCAGAGTGGCTGCAAGCTGAGATGGCACAGAGAAATGTTATGTCGTTAGGCTCTACATGCCCCTTTCGCATTTCCTCAAATAATTCAACAGCTTCCTTTCCAAAGCCATGTGTGCCATATCCATCTATCATGGCATTCCATGTTGTAACATGCCTATCATCCATCATGTCAAATAGCTTTCTTGCTGTGTGAACTGCTCCACATTTTGCATACATGTCAACAAGTGCAGTGGCTACAAAAACATTCCTGTTCAAACAAGTTCTTACAGCAAATCCATGTATCCACTTAGCTTGGCGCAATACTGATAACTCAGCAAGAGCAGTAACAACACTTACCATTGTAAATGAATCAGGTTTGATGTTCATCAGATGCATTTTACAAAAGTGAGTTAATGCATCCATTACGCATCCATTTTGTGCATAGCCCAATATCATAGCATTCCATGAAACAAGTGTTTTTCCTCCCAAGTTTTCAAACAATTCAGCTGCAATATCCACTCTTTGGCACTTGCAATACATTGAAATCAACGAGTTAACAACTGCAACATTAGAACCAAGACCTAGTTGGTTGACTAGTTTGTGTACATATTGTCCAAGCTCAATATTCCTTGTTTCAGCACACGCATGTAAAGTGCTCATAATAGTCACATTCGTCGGTTTGAATCCTTCATCCAACATTTTCTGAAAGATGATAAGAGCTTCATCGTAATATCCATTCCGTGCATATCCATCTATCATAGCATTCAACGATACAACCGTCTTAGAATCCATCTTATCAAAAACCAACCTAGCAGTACCCACTGACCCACATTTAGCATACATATCGACCAAAGCAGTCGAGACATTCACAAGCGACTCAAAACCATTTCTAAAAACATATCCATGAATCAACTTCCCCATTTTAAAGGACCCAATTGCACCACAAGCAGGCAAAATGGACACAATCGTAACCGAATCCGGCCTATTACACCCTTCCTCTTGCATCCTTAGAACCAACTCCAACGCTCTCTTTGACATCCCATTTTGTGCATATCCTGAAATAACCGTATTCCAACAAACCAAATCCCTCTCAGGCATTCTATCAAACATCTTATATGCATCACCAACCATCCCACATTTAGCATAAAGATTCACAACACTAGTCATCGCAAACAAACTATCTGAAAACCCATGAAGAATCAACTGCGCATGTACCTGTTTACCCTTCACAACATCAGAATTATCTGCACAAGCTTTTAACAAATAGCTAAAATTATATATTACCGGAGTTACATCATCATATCTCAAACGAGAGTAAAAAGCCAAAGAAGAATACAAATTAGAGTGATGGGTATGGCCTTTTAGCATCGTATGATACATGGGGTCAACTTTGAGTTTAGCAAATTCAAAGACTTTGGTGGCATCATTAAGGCTACCATATTTGGTGAATAAGCTAACTAATTTTGTTTCAAAAAGGTGTTCTTTATAGAGACCGTTTTTGATAATGTGAGGGAGAATTTGGTGAAGCTCTTTCATGGAATTGCAGAGTTCCAGGAGGATTGCTGTTGGGTGTTTGTATATATGTGATGGGATGTGGACCCTTTGAGATAGAAACGGCGGCTGTGGAATCGCCGCCGGTGGCGGTGGTGCTGGAGTGATGGAGCGTGCCAACAGCGGGAAACTCATGAAGCTTACTGATTCTTCACTGAAATCTACTGATAGAGTAAAGTACCACTTCCAAAGCGCAGTTTACAATCGAACTGTTATCTCCATTAATATTCATTATCTTTTT